TTGGGCTTCCACAGGTGGTCGTCGTCACCGTGCACGTGGTGAGTGTCGTCGGTAGCGACGTCGCCGGCGAGAGAGATATTAATATCTCGCCTGAGCTCCCCGCTGGACTGCCTCTGGTGGTCGGAGGCAGGCTGGGGAGCATCGCAGGGGGCGTCCTCCATTGGTCCATGATGTTGATTGGACCCCCTGCGATTGGCGACGTCGGGTTGCCTGTCGCTCTGGACGATGGCCGGCCCAGAGCTAGCAGGCGTGCGTCCACTGCACTCTTCTCAACGGGAGCGCTGGTCGACCGTCTCGATCTCGTGACCACCCCCTCATTGGATGTCGTCTTGGGGGGTGGTCCGGTCGCCTTGGTTCTCTTTAATTTTAGTCTCCCCACGCCGCTGGGTTGGAATTGCGTGCCCTCCTCGTCCGATGATAGCAATGAGATGTAATTTTCTATGTGACGAGGAGGGTGTGGGGAGACGCGCTCCCGTCTTGCCGTGGCCTCGCACTTCTCAGCCGGCACGCTAGTTGCCCGCCTGGTCCTGGTGGAAATTGGATGCTCCTTATTGGCGGGCAACTTCTTCCCTGCTCCCTCTCCGCTTTTCCTATTGGTCACCGATGTCCGTGAACCCCCCGCCTCCGGTGATGTCCTCTGCGGGGGGTGAGAGGGAGCGCGCACCGGCTTGGCCGCGTTTTGCACACCTGCTTTTGGGATGGATTTGACAGGCAACCTAACTCCTTCTACCGACGTGACACGAGGTTTACTCACCGTGGCGGTCGTCGGCGACTTCCTCGTTGCGGCGGCCTCGCCGGATCTCCTGGCTGATGTAGTAATTGGCGCGGCGCTCCTCGCGACAGTCTTACTGCGGGCTGTTGTGGAAGATGACGTGCTCCTGGTTGATGGGCCCGCAGTGACTGCCGCGTATGAGGGGGAATTATCCGTCGATGTAGTGGACGTCCTTCCATTGGCCCTTGAAGTATTTGGCGAAGGGGTGGCGGTGAACGGCAGCGTGAGTTGCCGCGAACCCGATGTCGCGGCCTGGCGCCTATCCGGTCCTCCAACCGTCTCCGCCAATCGCGTGGTCGCTCTAGCCGTGCCGGTAAATGATGATTGGGCCCCAC